CCTCTTCAAGTTTTAATAGATTTTATTTCGATCAGATCAAAACTGATTTTTTTGCAGCAAAAAATTGGTCGCTTTAGGGTATTTCACCCCCTAATTTTCACTCCCCTTCTAACATACCTAGGCCAATTTTTGTCTTCTATCGAAAGATACTTTCATACCAAAAATCATCAAGATTGCTTCACTGATCTCGAAAATATCACAATTTTTCCATTTTACCCTCACACTTTGGGGGGTTGTTTCATACCCTAAATATGTTTTACCGCAGATAAAAAAAAATACGTGTCCCCTAATTTTCAATGTACTATAACATATCCAAATTTCATCAAAATCGGAGAGTGACACTTGGGTAGGTTTACTTGTAAGTGACCATAAAAGTAAAAGACATGTTTAATCTTAAAGCACGCTATAAAAGCCGAATAATATTAGCAAGGTTGAATGATCGTCTCTGTTGGGTCCTCATGTCCGAGCGCAGTGTGCACGTTCGTCAGACACGAACAGGAAGTAGTTAAATGTTACCGGTGTCAGGACGAAGCCTTTGTGTTGAGAGAGTGCTCAGGCTCCGTGGAGTTAGCCGACTGGCAGAGTACTATAAATTACATAAATGAAGTATGCCCCTTCTTCGCTCAAACGAACGTCTTGCCAAGTTTATAACTTAATCACTGGTGCTTTTCATGCCGGAGCAGCTTGACGGTTGGGGGAGACTGGTAGACAGTGTAAGTTGTGGACAAAGGTGTCTGTAGAGGGCGAAGGATGCTGGATAAGAAAAATTCCATGGAAGAAAAATTCAATTGAAAAAAAGGAGATTGATGAAAGCAAAGTACAGTTGTGGGTAATCGACTCTGAAGGGCTATTTGCCGTTTTATTATTATCGCGGTTCTTTTAAGGACTCGATTAATCTTAAATCGGCAATTTTAAAGATCTTTTATTCTTCAATCTTCGTCGTATACGATCTCTTAAAAATGTGATATGAAATTAATAGGTTGAGAGGAGGATAATTTAAGTGTATTGTAATTGTAGCTTATTTTAATATCATTCAGATTTTCCAAGTATTTGGTGTGTAGATACATAATATTCTTAATACTCTTTTTTTAAGCCTTTTTAATGAGTATTTCAAATTAGCATATGAAGGGTTAGGTTAGCATATATGAATATGAATATTTATCTATTTATTTAGTAGGTATAGTATTTAGTTAGTAGGTGCAATGTTGCTTAATCAATATATAAAATTTTGTTTTGATTTAGTATAATGTACCCACTATGATATTTGTCTTCCAAGAAATCTTAAAAAAAATTGTCAATGTACACTATCTATTTATTATACAAAATAATCCTTACATCAATTACTTTATAATATTTTAAAACATGTACAGACTATTTATTTAATGTTCTAATTAAAACTATTTGAAAATATGAACCTGATGAATAAGTTTTAATATAGTGTTGGATAATACAGAAAGAGCGTGTAGTTTAATCAAGGCATAGATTGCAAATTTCTTCTTGGTTTGATCAATTTTACACCGTACATCAAATTTATATTGCAGTGCTGTATTATTGCCATATTCTGTTCAAGTTACGAGTCACTTAATCTTACATAATTTGTAAGGTAATACGTATTTTATGGTGGGTGTGAAATGTTAAATTTATAAGTGCGAATAAAGTACATGAAAGTAAAATGAATAATAAAGTGTCACAATTTTAGGAGAATGTAACTTGAATTAATAGGAAACTGTATACGAATATTTAAGATTTATAAACTTTATTGTACTGTAAAACGAAATATATTTTGCCTGTCTTCCTTTTATTAACCGTTTTCAAGAGATGTAATAGAAAAGTATAATTATTCTTTTTTTTTAATGGGTTTGTTGAAAAGAGGTACAATTGAAATAATTATTAATTTTAACAGTTTTAACTATGATAGCGCTATTAGTAGTAATAAAAAAATTTGTTATGTATGTTATGATAAATTGTAATATAAGTAACTCAATAAGCATACTGTATAAATATTGTGCTTATCAAGTATTATCCAAATACTCAAATCCATTCCTAATAAATCCAAAATTTCCCTTCCCCCACTTTTAACACTCAATATTTACCGTTACAAGTATTACATAAAATATCCCCTCCATTACATTAAAGTAGAATAACTGCTTCCCCTACAATTTCCTAATTACCTTACGTAAAATACCCTATCATTTCATCCCGCAACCCTCACTTAAATACGCCATAATTTTCTCAATTTACTTTCCCGGTAATTATTTCCACAACAACTTCACCTCGCTCAGATAGTACAAATAATCCCACGCATCGGCGTTACCGCCCGGTGTCGGATGCCGCGCAAACTTTGATCTTGCCTATGAACCGTCGTAAATAAATAAGGGCGTAAATTAAGATCGATCGGCGTTAATTACACGAACAAACTGTTGGACGGCCGTGTCGTCGTGCGCGGCTCGTCCCGGCGTAATTTAATTCAGCCCGAGCCCTATCCATTTCCGGTGTAAAATTTAAGAGAGAAGGAAAACGCTCGAAGAATCGCGAGCTGTCGGCTCGCATTCAGCTCCGGTATCCATCGGCTGTGTTTAATTACGAGTCACCCGACGTAGTTTCGCTGGCTCGCCGACTTCTTCAGCACGGAAGCTCTAACTCCTGCTGGTTATCTTAAGCGACATCGCGCGCTGGATTCGTATAACTCGCTCGGCTGCCGGATAACTCGAATTACTATGCCTCGCGATAGAAAGAGAAAGAGAGGAAAGATCGTGGTGGCTGAAGCGACGGCGGGACCAAGGGGGCGAGATTAAAACACCTGGAGACCAATGCAAAGTTTTTAATAACCCTTGATGCTTGATTAAGTTATGACTCTTCGCCGGCTCATCGTCTCTGGCGTCCTTCTCTTTTCTCTTGTTCTTCGTCCTCCAGCGAAATAAATTTCGAGCAGAAATGCTTAGACCGCGTTCGAGTGGAACGGGACTTGCCGGGAAGGGTTGGCAAGGAAACGAAACTCGTCCGACTCTGCTGAATTAATGGAAGATCCGTCGGGATAGTTATCTTCGCGGCGGTGAACGCGTGGAAGTTACGTTAACTCGGACGTTCTTGAACGCCGACGAATTATGGCGAATAAAGTGCCGTTCAGCGAAATCGCACGACATGTTTAACCCCCTCGTCATATTTTGGCGAGCGAGAACCACAGACAGTTAGAGTGTGATAAATTTTACTTGAATTTTTAGTACGTTTTAGTTTGATGTTTAAGTTCAATTGTAGTTTGCATAGTCAATTGTCGTTAGATATAAAAGATAACGGTTTAACTTTCCTTATTCGTTTTAATATTGTAGAAGTGGATAAGACAACCCTGCTTCTGACGCGTAAGGAGCTAATCCAGATTTCTAACTGGAAGGATTATGGCCCCAATTGGTCAGGTTAGAAGAATGGATATCTAGTCTGGTACCTAGACTTACACGTATTTTCAATGGTACGAACTATTGCTTCGTATGATCAATCACAATTGAAAACAAAGAAAGTACAATGACAGCCGACAAATGTTTCGAATAGTCTCCTCAAATGTCGTAAGTCACATTTGGTCTGTTCAAGATGAGGTTAGATGGTGCGTCCCTCAAACCTGGATCAACCCCCTACGCGCCAAGAACAGTGTTGTCGACAGTAGCTGGTTCCGTCTAACGCATCTAACAAATTATACAACAAGAAAGTTTGATAAAAGGTTCTACATGAATAATTAAATAAAAGTTAGTAAATAAAGGTTGGACATGAAATATTTACTTAACCTATCATTTTTCGACAAGTGTGACAGACAGAGCGATTTAATTATTTTTGTACTACTAAGTAAGTAAGACAAAGAATGTTCAAATGTTAAATTTATTTTGGATATGGTGATCATTTAAGGAGAGGTTGTATTTAAAATTAAACTTGAAATTCGAATGTGGCGAAAATATGAATGAGATTTGTCATATTTCAACAATTAGGTGCGTCATATGTGGGACACGATATCATATGGATTAATACAGAAGCTTGTGAAATTTATAGAATTTTTAAGTGTAAATTATGCAAGTTTTTAATACAGCATTTTTTTAAATACTTACAAGCATCAACATCGTTAGGAAATATTTTGAAAGAAATTATATTGTCACTATTACCTTATTGAAAAAATAAAATTAGTTTTTTTTTTTTTAAACTATGAAAAATAAAATAAATATTTTCGGAATTTATTAATACATATATTAAAAATGTGAAAAATAATTTTTCAACATTATTTGTTAAATTCTGAGTAAACCCTCTTGAGATCGTAGTGTTAAAAAGATTAGATACTCAAACGGTGTACATGATATCTCACGACCCAGTTATCTGAAATCAAGGAACAATATTTTTTCTTGAAGCTATCGCTAGAGTTATCGAACAATAACAAAAATTGGCTGATTGGTTCATGTTTTTATAAAAAGTTTCGACAATTCGCACCTTTCCCAATAAATTTTAAATAGAGTATCCATTTTTTAACCAAAACTTTTATTTTAGGATCTTCAATTTAATTAAAAATTACGCAATGAGGATTATTACAACACACAATGTAATTTTAACACAAAATACAATTATAACAATTATAATTTGAGTCAATAATAATTTCTGGAAATATTATAATTTTATCCAAACTCCAATAAATATATTACAATAAGTTTGTAATAAATGTATTAAAATAAAATAACAAGTAATAACAAGTAGTAGCAACTTCTCGTGTCAACTTTATTATTTCAAATAAGTACTTTAACTCAAATAAAAACCTTAATTAACTCAAATGTTATTTGAAGACGTTTCATTTGAAATCCGCATAAAATGAAATTGTACAAGGTTTAAACGAGATATAAAATTTTATAAAAAATTTGATATTATGACTCGATTGCAACATTCTTGTACAAGTTCAATATTTAGTATTTGCCAATAAACGAACATTGTAACCACAAGTATCGGTTATTAAGGAACATCTATTCTTTCTGTTCCAGGCTTCGGCTTCGTCACGTTTCAAAGCGAGGACGTGGTCGACAAAGTCTGCGAGATTCATTTCCATGAAATCAACAATAAAATGGTGAGTCACCAGTCAGCCAACAAAGCCTGTTTGTCGAATGAAGAGAGTACTCTCTCTCTCTCTCCACCACTAACCCACAGAGGTGGTATCAAACGGTATTTGCCTTCCGCTTTCCGTCTGCGGATACGGCGTCGAGCGGAATTAATTTTCCGTATAATTGAGAAGGGCTGCCGTGGTTATTTGCATTTGACACGTACGCACGTGGAACACACGTACACCCACGCATGATCACATCTAGCCTAGACCAGTCCATAGATCATACGGTGGAAGACGACAAGCGGGTACTGGAAAGTCCGTCATGGTGGAGATCACACGGCTCCTACGGTAATAGACAGTTCTGTTTGTCGTCTACCCCCACTGAAATTCCTCCTCGATCAAGGATTTACCGGATACCACTTCTAGTTACCCATAAATCCATCGCCTAGACCATCGCGATTCTGTCAATAACTCATTGAAACTTTCCTCCAACGTTAGCCACTTGCCGGCACAAAACTACCCCTCTATAATGATATTTGACTGAATTTATACTGATTAGCCGTCGTTAGATTACTACTCTACAACAAAGCATTTTGACATGCAATAGTAACAGGAATAAGAATTTCAAATAAATAGAACACTAAAATTTGTGCGAACGAAATAATGAAATTGATGCAACTTCATTTTTATTACAATAGTCACTTTCAAGTTTCAGAAATAAAAACCAGTAATTATTCTTATTGTGGTCTCTTGTTAAGCTGCATAAAATATACTATGAAATTTTTGTGTTTCGTTAAACATAAATGTATTGCAAATTTTGAATTTTGCTACATATAAATTGCAGACTTTGTATTTTGGAAAATATAAATTAATTGTAAATTTTGTAACAAACGAAATTATTGAAAATATTTCTTGCTTTCAGTGTACTCATTATTGCTAGTGTAATTCTATACTCGTCAGCTTTATTCTAACAAAATATCGATACATGTTACATACCAGTAGGATGAAATTACAATGCATAAATTATTATCTGTGTGTTATTTATTGCCGTTCATAATATCGTATGTATCTACATATAGTTTTCATAGCTGTTATATTATTACTATTGGCAATAAATAATATTTGAATCATAATTTGTGAGTTTTAATTTGTGAATTATATTCTAACCTAAATCGATATGTTTAACGAACGCATCGTTAGTTCATTATTTATTACTCCTCGTTTCAACCTGCTGGTATTAAATAAATATTAATATGTAGGTATCAAGCAGATGTCGATCTTTGGTCGTATCGAACTGGTATCGATATTTTTAATCCATATCTTTGAATACGTATCAAATTGGTATTAATACGATCTTGTACAGATATGTATGTCTTCAAGTATTCTTTTTGATACCTCTGCATTTAAAATGTATCGATATTAGATTGAATTTCAAAATCGATATTATCAGTCGCATTATTAACCATACCTTCTGTAAGTATCAAATAAGTATCGATATTTTCAATCGGTATTAAACCTGTATTGATATTCTCGAATAAGTAAACAAATGTCGATCTTTCAGTAGATATCGAACAGATATCGATATTCTTGGTCGGTACAAAACCTTTAGATATCAAGTACTTATCGATGGACTCCCATACCCAAATATCTTAAAATATCGACTCTGTTAATTAGCGTCACAACTAATACGTGTCACAGTCACATCACTACCCCATATTTTCTGTACCAAACAAGTAACAACATTTTCTATAGGTATCACACCAGAATCAATATCTTCGGGTAGTTGCTAAATAAGTATCAATATTTTCGATCGATATCAATACATTCTCACATGTACTGTCGACAACCCTCAATTTGGCGCGTAGCCAAATGGCCATAATAACTCAGTTGCTACACCCTGAACATTTCCAGCGTGATGTACCGACGTGAGACAAATAATAATAATAATAGTAATAATAATAACAACAACTGTATCATACAATTCGCGGTTTTTCATTCACTCTTGAGAGGTTTCCTAATTGTCCTTGTTCTTTATGTTAATTGAACCCCTCAAGCGAATTGTACCTACTGGAGCGTCTACATTATACCAGTAACAGCTGCCAATACCCTTGCAAAGTACACGAATTTTTTAGTTACTTGCTTTTTCTGTCTATTGTTGACAAAGAAGGCGAGGGAGGAAAGAAATCATTTTCTTTTACCAATGACATATCTGGCACAGGCAAAGCAAGGGACGCAAAAATTCGACTATCTATTGGTAAGGCTACTGGCGCCAATTATTATTGGCATAATGTAGACGCTCTCTACGGTCGAAAATACGTGTGAGTTTAGTGATTCTCTAGTTTGACCAATTGGAGCAGTATCACGTGTGACCTTTTTTCCTTTAACGTGGAGAAACTTTGCACAAGCATATCTTGTGGGTAGGACATGGGAGTATATGAGCTTCCTACTCACTAAAACCTCACGATGCAACTGGCATCGACAAGGAGACCTATTATGACGTATTCCACCCCTTATGTGCGCCTATCTCATAGGAGTCGCAAGGACCCAGAATACCCACACCGCCGGTATTAGCCATAACTGGTGCCAATTCGGATCGCGTGCAATGACGTCCGAGTCCCTCGACACCTGCATCATTTGACACCTACACGCCAAGTTGAGGATTGCCTACAGTAAAGTCTTCGACCGATTCATTTTGATACATCCACACATATCGATACCAGATCCATCTTCAACATCAATCACATCAATAACCTGTCTCGGAAGATTGACTGATCGATGTCTATTAAATTTCAAGGTCGAGTGCAAGAAAGCACAGCCGAAGGAGGTGATGCTCCCGACGAACCTGGCGAAGACGCGAGCGGCCAACAGAGGCGCATACGGTGAGTTGGTGATGGTCGCAACACCCACTCCCACCACCTATCGTTACGCGCCGTATCCCCTGCCGA